GTACGATTTAACTCACGACGCGATTTTCTTATGGCGAAAGATTACCCGGCAGGTTATGCGCGTGCAGCCTTCGTGATCCTTGTGGCGATTTAAAACTGTCTGGAATATAATAGACACTCTCTCGCTCTCATGTGGCCTAACTCGCAATTATTTACAGAACCCGAACGACCCTATCCCACTGCTAACAAGAACATATTGTTTCCTCCTTGTTGTAAATGCAAACCCAGTCGACAAAAATGCACAAAATTAAACGAGGTGTAAATGACGAGGTGTGTGACGATGTTGCACGTCGGCGCGTGTTATCTTGGAAATTGGATTCACGGAAAACCAATCGTCAGCGGCTTATAACCCGGAAATCATTGACGCCTCAACATTGAAGCAAATAGCACGTTAGTGCGCGGCTCGGGCTCCGGCACCTATAATCCCGAGAGTGTACGTGCAAAATGCCCGCGGCATACACTGTGGGTGTATAATGAAAATCCTTCATCTTGCTCGGTTTACCGAACAATGCAAGTTAATGACCGGTAGTTAGTAAAACGATAAGCTTTGCTGCTTCATTAACTCGCAGAACTCTCTTTTGATCACGGAGCTTTGTTATACAACGCTATTGAAATACCTTTCAATCGATTTCTTCTAGCGTACCGATTAAAATATAATAAAATATGACATGTACACAAATAGTATAAAATATATAATAAAAAAGTTTATGTTGCTTAGTTTTTAGAATAATATAAATTAACAATATAAATTAACTAGTAGCATGATGAGCTTTGTTGCTTCGTTAACTCGAAGAACTCTCTTCCGATTACGTAGCTCTATCATCCAATGCTGTTGAGAAACCTCAATAGACTTCTTTTAACATAGCGATTAAGATATAACAAAATGGATGCAATATACATAAATAAAATACTTAAAAAATTATAAATGATAAATATATTTTTATAAATATGGCATATTTTAAAAGAGATGAAATTCTATACTATTCTATACTGAGAGAAATTATCCGATAGAAAATTAATAAACGGATATTTCCGATCAAAGTACCGATAAATTTTTATATCCGATCAAGAAACATTCGATGAGAAATATCGGCTTATAATTTTTTGATCGATTTATCTAATGAAATGCTATTATATGATCGGAAGTATTCAATAAAATTTAATCGGATATAAAAATTGATCGGAATTTGATCGGAAATGTCCGTTTGTTAATTTTTTATCGGATAATTTCTCTTAGTGTACGCGGAATGCAATCGCATATCCTTCCATCCTCTCGTTAAACTGATGTATAAGATCTATATATATATATATATATATATATATATGTATGTATGTATGTGTGTATACATGGATGTATATAGCTTTTCCCCGCTCTTCACGTCCGACATCGGCCTGACGCGAAATCGATTAACCACACAGTGACGAATGACAGTCCATCGTAGACCCTACCAATCGAAGTACACATCTAAGACCGAGTCGATCCCGATCGAGGGCAGGAGGGATAAGAAGGTTAAATGAGTTAACCCCGCAGAACCTCGATGACCTACGTCCTCGGTCCGAGTCGACTCTATGTCGTAAATAATCTCTTCGTGGTAATGCAATGGGTGTCCATCTCGTACACGTTCTTAGGATATATCTCGCCGCTGATTCTGTCGTTCGAGCAACGTCCCGTCTTGGCAAAATCACGAAACTCCGTGGAAACACATTCGAGGGTAAGTGGCGCGATATTGGACCGACAAGACGAACGATTATTGCACGTCCGACGTGAAACGCCGATTCATGAAAGATCTCACGGGATCTCCCCGAAATAGACCTGTTCCTGAGAAAATTTATTCTTTCATATCCCGAGTTTTATCAGATTTATTAGACCCTTTTGCGCCTGAACAGTAATATTAGTGGAGCGAATTTTGTGGTAAAAAATATCTATATTCGGAGAGTATATTGTAGTCAAAATTGCAATGCAACTTTAGTAGTCTGGGAATAGATTATCATTATTATGAAAATTGCAATGAAACAATAAAAATAACCTTAAAAAGTAGTAAAAGTTATCATATTTATGATAGTTTTTACTATGTTTTATTATAATTTTCGTAATAGTGCCAATCTATTTCCGGACTACTAAAAGTGCATTGTAATTTTTACCATAATTTTTATTATAATTTTTACTATAATTATATATTGTTTCCGTAGAATAGAATTTTGCAATTGCGGGACAGATCGACATTCTACAGTCATTTATTGTCTTGTTATGTACACACAATATTTTACGTAATAATATAAGAAATATAACGTAATATAAAAAATATTACGTAATATAAGAAATAAAAATTTGGTTTGCTTACTGCGTAGAACTAATTTTTTTTCGATAAAATTTTATAATATTCATATAAAAAGAATCAATTTTCCTGTTGAATACGTGATGAGCCTTTTTAAAATTTATGATGAATATATTTCAGGACTATTATCAAGGGAATATTCTTTTGTTTTGAAGATAACCATTACTTAAAAGAAGATAAGTAAATTAAGTAATCGCGTTTCTCCGCGGTATAAAAATATTTTTCTGCGTGCAGGAACTAAAATGTGCTATTAAAAATTCTGCTGCGTTTCTAACAAAATTTGCTATGTGTCTACATTGAGAGAAGAAATATCTAAAAAAATATATAAACAATATTTATTTTGAATTTTATATGAGCATTTATTAAAAATTGTAGTAATTTCCACCACACTGTGATAGTGTTATAGTATGTGTTAGAGAAAAGATACCTAAAAAATAAAAAGTATTTATTCGATAAGTGCTGATACAATATTTAATATACATACATATATTACTATACTAATACATATATTATTACACTGACAAGAGAACACTACAAACTCGAACTTTTTAATTTTGAACTTTCACTCTCGCCTTCACGTTTAGACGATAGGAAGCCACATTCCGACTGCATTACCCAAAACAGATAATCTCATTCTTAGTGGAATCCTCTTGTATATTGACCTTAAGAGAAAATTCTTCTAGAACCAAGAGGAAAAAAATATTCTAACATCCAAAAAAGAATTCTAATTGAAAGGTTCTTTTTTCTATAATTCCATATTCCAAGCGAATACTTTTGCCGGAGGAGTATTCCTTTTCTAATGAAGTAGACTATTAATCGAAAGTCCAATGGATATTATTCTCTTTTTCATTTTGAACTTTTTCACTTTTGTGAGTATGTAGAGTAAATCAATACATGAATAACGGTATATTCCATTTATACCCTATCGCTATTTAAAGGTATGATATATACCAGAGCTCGGAATTAGCTCATTTCGATTCTCGGGAGCTACGCTATCTATCTTCCCCTTGCCGCGAGCAGGCCATGAAAGTGACGAAGCTTGAAGCTTGGCCGTCACTTTCGTGATCCGCTCGCGGCAAAGGGAAAACAGAAGGCGTAGCTCCCGAGAATCGGCCGAAATGGGCAACTAATTCCGAGCTCTGACTTACACCATCCTAACGCGAGTGATATTGCGAGAGAGCGAAACTCCCGTGAGTCTAAACTCACGTGAGTCTAAACGTTGAACGTTAATATCGCTCAGGTTTGCCGTTCTAATTATCATCTGAGAGATATACGCGCGCTTTCGTACATCCCACCCGGGCATTATTAATGTTATTATTAGTCTCGTTACTCGTACGATGCGTTAATTTCGTACTAATCCGCTGCGCGACTGATCCCTCTCTAAATTATAAACAACTTCAGCAATGAGCCGCAATGAGAGGTGTTTCATATGTGTGTCAATGATGCAA